CTTTATATAATTCTTCCAATAACCTGCTGCTTTGAAGTGTGCAGGAGTGGCGCAGTTAAGAAGATATGAAAAGGAAGTCGGGACTATTTAACATATTCACCTATTCCTCGTTTTTTAAAGTATATCTCGAACTCCTAGAAAAACCATATGATTTCCGTGAAACCTGTTTCCATCCTGAGGACATCCTCCAGTTTTCGTTCCACAAAGGGTTCCGCATAGTTTCACTCACACGTAACCACTATCGGCTGCTTGAATCAAGACCGTTGCCCCACATATTCTTTGCTATCGTCCATCTATACCGTTCCATTGCGTTTTTTAGCTTTTGTACACATTCATCATGGCCTACGTGTCTGTCCATCACTACTTACCCAAGGATCGGCAGAAGAAAAGGAAGAAAATAGTATGTTTGGTGCTTTGAGAGTACAGGAGAATTGGATTCCTTGATTTTTTAGTTGCCACAAACGTATGAAGATCCATGCTCATCTGTGCTGTGCATGCGCTCATTTCGAAATGAACCGATCACAAGTTTAGGGTCAGTGTTATCGAACTTTCTTGCCTAGTTTTTGTATGTTCTTATTCTTTAGATGGTTATTCGAGAAGAGCAGCAAAGGAACAGTTGAACAAATGAAACCAAAAAGTACCGAGAACAAGTCAGCAGCTAGACGGCGTTCTAGGAAGCAAAAAGTGAGCATTTTTTGCTGTTCCACTTGGTGGAGTGAAAATCAAAACCAATAGTTTTGTATAGCCTTTTCATATATATTCATGATTGTTCCACAATAGCCAAAGTGAATCTGGCAGTTTTTACCGCGATTAAAGATAGTAGGATTTCCTAGGATTTGCGATGTTACTTACGCTTTTGTCTATGTGAGAGACTGCGTAAATTGAGGAATAGATCATAATACGCATAATGGCATTTATGAAACCTGTATCCAAAAAGCAATCAGTATTGTCTCTAAAAAGAAAGCGTTAGAAACAGCGCTTTACCAAAACAGCAAAAGCTGAATGTCCAATCAAGAAATAACCTGAAAACGCTTTCATCTAAGATTGCCATCATATAGACATAATTTATCTAGAAGTTTGTGATTTCTGATTTAGGCCAAGAATGGAGTCAAGCATGTAATCTAGAATTAAAATTTGTGAGTGCTGGCCTATTCTGGATCTTGAGAAAAGGGATGCCTTTGTCGGTAAAAGCTTACCTAATTTGGAAGAAAAGTTCCAGAACTTCTAAGAACAAGGAAAAAATAATAATTAGTACATTTCCCCTTACTTTCTACTATAATTATATGATAGTAAACTCCGTCGCTGTGATTTTAAAGTCTTCTGTTGAGGAGACAAATACAATAAAGTATTTAATTGTGGAACGATTTATTCATTGGTTTATTCATCTTGCGAAACGACAAAGAGACACTCTTTCTTAATCTGTGTATAATTGTCTATATTTCTATTTGACAATATTTGAGACCTTGTTCAAGTAAAATTGTTACCCTTTATTTCAGATTTTTGTGGCTATTA